ACCAGAGCACACCGACGAACATCAGTGCAAAAAGCAGATGTGTCTTTATAAAGAGCTCAAACATATATCGCCGGACATATATAAATGAAAAGACCATCAAAGCAGTGGCAAGAGAAAGAAGCTGTAGAACATTAAGTGTAAGCGTTTGTAGAGCCCATTTTGTTGATTACATACCAACGATTGTACTATCGTAAGACGTGGGTCCAACATTGCATGCAAAATGCCGTGTATCAGGCCTTCTGTAATGCAAACGCGACCCACCCAACGATGGATAAGAGAGGATTGGCTTGGGTGTAGTCGGATAAGTCGGTCTCCGAGCAGACTAGTTCTTCCTCCCAATAGAAGTGGCACAAGGTTTATAATGAATAGACTCCCGCAGCGATTGGCTAATTCCTCACGATTACCGACATCAAGAGCGCAAGCTGCAATATTGGCGACAAAATAAATGAGGATCTTCAGGAAAGTGAGAATAGACACATTGTCCGAGCCGATCCGACGACGGTAGAAAGTTGTGTAGATCAATCTTTTACGCAACAAAGAGCACAGCCTACGCCGCGCAGGTGTTTTCAAGAAGCGAAGCGCTTTCCAGATGAGGAGCAGACCAAATGCAGAGGCTAATGCCACCGCGTAGACTAAGCTAATTTGCATGATTATTTGTCTTGGAAAGGTCCAGGCCATACGCTCGGCATATATATGGCCTTATGTCCGAGCAATGCTTAAGTTAGAACACGAAAAACATGAAATGAAAGCTGAGAAACGGAATATTGGCGTGTTTGTGGTGAGCGATTTGCGGAAACCCGTTGTTCAGAATAGAGCGCGATATGGGACTTTGACCCCACATCCACGGTCAGGGGTTCGAGTTGCGCCGTACATATGCAGAGAAGATCTCTGATCCTTCCAAACTAGCTGCGCTTATCCGGGCGTTCCTATTGGCCCAAGCATCTTTTATGAACCGCCGTGCCTCATTGGTACAACATACGGATTTTATGGCCGATAAGTTTTAGGCTCAGTTTGCAGCGCGCTTGTTCCACCAACTGCGGGTTTTATAGGTACATATACCATGCAGTTGTAGCAACAAAATGTCAGCTACAACAATTCTTAACTTGCTATTGTTCTACTGATTCAGTTATTGTTCCAATTACTATGGCATCGAAGGAAGCACAGAAGCTGTTTGATCGTCGAAGGACCGGCCTCGATCGGAAGGCACGAGATCTCATCATGAAGTCGTTATCCATGCACAATGTTGATCTTGGAATAACCATCATATATGAGTTCGGGGAAGAAGTGAGCATGTTTCGCTCTCATTTAGACGACGGGCGTTGGTGGTCCACAGTACAGGACCTTGTGAGTTTGTTCCAACTTCTGGCATGTAAGAAACATCCTAACTTACATTGCAAATACTAGAAAAATACATGCGGTAAGGGTATCACGGGAATGGGAGTTATTAATGAGGAAACTCGGGGCCTTTGGGAGTGGCAGGTTCACCAGGAACGAAAGAAACGGCCTGAAAGCAACTTTCGTGTCCCTCCCTCAGGGTCCAATGCAAAACGAGAGTTACCTGAGGACATACTCAGTACAAGCAAAGGACTCTTAACAGCAGGACCTGCTGATGATTCAGAGGACGAAGGCTCGGGAGATGAGACCCCTGATGACAAGGCTTCAGACGGCAATGAAACACCAGAAACATCTGCTGATGAAGATGATCCATCAGACGATGACGATGACGATGATGAGCCAATAAGGACGAAGCGGAATGTCAAACAAAGGAAACAACCTTTACGACGCGTTAAAAGCACCGGGGGCTCATATCATGGGTCGCCAAAACGTCCGCGTGAAGACGACGCCACGTCGATGCAATGGAGTATGTCTGACCCGCCTCCGCAGCAGCCACTTTTTCAGTATTCACCGAACTTCAACAATTACACACACCATCCTAACAGTAACCCTAACGGACAATTCGCCTCTTTAGCAAATCATCCAGCTCCGGCACTATCTATGCTTCAACAAGGGCATAATCCGATAACAGTGCATCAGCCCGATATTTTCAACTCAGGTTATACCCAAGAACTAGGATTTGGCGCTCATATGTATCAAGAACCTATGCAAACAGGTCCCATGGGTTCACGTCCAGTTCAGATACCAGAGGTGCCACAGCCAAAGAAAGTCAAGAAGAGCAAGTCTACTTCTGTTGTAACAAAGAGAAGAAACTCGAGAAGATTCAAAGATTAAGCGTCTGGGGTTCGTAATTCTTTTTTTGTTTTTTTCATTTTCGTCCCTCGAATTTCCAATGTAAAAACTGCCTGTCGTCTTAGTTTGGCGTTCTGTAGCCTAGAGTAACGATAACATGATTCAGCCTCTGATAGACAGTTTCTCTTAGAAGATGCAATTCTGGATGCAACGCACATCTTCCATAACTAGAGTGCAGCTGATTTTGGTTTGAACTCCGAAGCTCCCATGACTCTGTACTTATGCGGGCTATCATGCCGCTGGCCAATGAGTTCTTTAGCTCTGAAGATCATGCACTTAATGCTCCAGAGAACGCCCGGTCGTGCCACACGTTACAGCTATCCGGAAAACAACAAACAAGGTAAGTTAGGTTGACTACTGAAGCCATTTTTTAGGTCTCCAATCTGGGTGGCGATCTTCGGAAATGAAAAACCCCGTGTGCCAAAGATAACCAATCGGATCGGCAGGGTCGATGAGAAGTCTATGATCCTTGCGATCCGATTGGTCGTTTTCGCCATATATAGACAGGCGTTAGATAGAGACTATAGTTGGCTCGATTCTCCTTATTCTAGGGATTTACGGGCCCAAGGAATGCCGGCTGGCTAGGCAAGATGAAATTGCAGATATGGTGTAGTTACTACACCGTACGCCTGCGCAAGTGCTCGCTATCCACTACCATGATCATGTTTATGTCCATACTAATGTGTTTGACACATACACGTTATCATCATCCGTGATAGTTACGACAACAAGATCTCATAAGCATGCATTCGCTTGCAAAATAGTTACCAGTCTATGTAATACGCAGAGTATCTACCCTACGTTAGTGTAGTCAGTTTAGTTTGACCTGGCCGGTTTCCACCCGACAGCTATAAGTCTCATAAGATGCTGCTTTAAGTAACCATTGTTCAGCGCCACATCGAACAACCTCATGTTATGTGGCAAGCCTGATGTAGCTGAAAATTTAATGTAGTTAACCAGTGTGGAGTACGTCATCTTGTGATCACAATGTCAGTAATCGTCCCTTTTGTCATGTGGATAAGCACAGTGCGGGGTTTTGCAAGTTTGGTACACGCTAGTCATAGTCGTGATTACGATTGGGAATCCAAAAGAAATCTGGGACGTTCAGAAAATTTTGCTGAAAAAGCAATGGCACGATGACGTGAATTTTTGATCCTCTTAGTTGTTACCTACGCATATAAAGTAGGTGCATTGACACTTGGTTATTCTTTAGATGAGGAGTAGTTATCTATGGCGTACAGATTCTAGGAACTACAGCCATTCACTTTGTTTCTTCTATGACCGTGAAGATGGCTGAGCGTTCCGTAGAGACTATCCTCAAGTATCATTTCTCCAACCGCGAATTGCTAGAGGAAGCACTACTCGCTGCAGGGGCGTCAGTCTCCAGCAAAAATCTACAGGGTGATGCAAAAGGCAACAAGCGCCTTGCTCTATTAGGAGATTCTGTTCTACAAGAAGCTGTTCTGGAGCCATGGTATAACTCTAAGGAAAGTACTGGTGAGTGCATACATATATAGATTTTTGTTAAGAAACTTACCTTATTAGAGGAGGGTCATAACAGGGTGAAATGTTTATGTGGGAACAAGAGATTAAAAGAAATAGCTCAGAGAAGCGGGATATCGGACTGCATTACCAAAAACCCATCACAAAATGGTCAAGTACCCCAAGAGACTGCTGCGTCGACGGTTGAGGCACTGGTGGGAGCAGTTTACATAGATTGTGGAGAGGACATATCAAGGGTCCATCAAGTCCTCGAGGCAATTGATTTTTTCAAAGAGTGATAAAAATAAGTTCAATCTAATTTGTGACAAAGTTATAGTTATGTATGATATAACAATCACTACGTTAGAGTTTGTATTAAGCGAAACAATAGTTGAAACACTACAGCCAAAAGAAATGAAGGATCAAAAAGTGGATTTTGAGATTCTCTAAGCTGTTTAGTCAACATCAGTGTTGCTAAGAGAGAGCCGCAGTGGTGTTTCGCTACAGCAGTTGTTGTATTAGTTACTGGTGGATGGATGTTATAGTGCTAAATATCATGCAAACTTTGTAAGCACTTAACTATTAACTAACTATTATTAAAATATAACTTTGTTAGCTTAACGTCCCTTCTCAAGTGTTGAGGTGCCCGCCATGCTCAGACAAATGAGGGTTACTCTAGCTTTCAGCACTTCACCTTCTCAGCATACTTTAATAATTGTTAATAGATTGTATCAGCAACATACTAAAGTGATTAACGAGCTTGTTCCTCTCCCATTACCTAAAATTTACGCCATGTCTCATGGTGGTCGGAAGAGAAGGCTTGAGCTAGTGCTTGGCTAGCTCGATCCATGGCTGCAAGTATGTCGATAGTCTAGCAAAGAGGCAATAGCCAGCAGCCTCTACGTAACGAAAGCGCGCCCTGTCGCTCTAATGACATACAGAGGATGAGCGGAGCTTGTGCTTAAAATAGCAAGCACACGATGGTGTCCTAGCACTCAGGGAGGGACACTAACCCGTATACCTTAATTACCTCACGGTAGAATATCCGATTCATCGCTGGGTTAGGTAGGGACGGCGTATCGTACCCCTTCTGCCTTATTCTTTCCGTACGCAAGCGATGCTGATCAGGCCGTCATCACAAAAGGAACGACGTTTTGGGTTAGTTTGTGGGGCACCACGATTAGTAATCCATTCGATCGGCGAGTGGCTTAGCGTTGTGGCCGTGCAGGCGCGGCTGCTTGGGAACGTGAGTTCGCCTCCATCTCCTACTCATCAAACAACATTTCAGAACTCATCTAGTTCTAGCTTATAATCTCTCTACACGCATTTGCCTGCCTATAGCCTGTTAAGTTTGTCCAGTGGATCTCCAAGCCTTTAACTGCATCCTGCTCAAGCCGCATGCTATCCATGTTTGCCGACTCCACCCTTCCGCGTCCACCTGTTCCGCAATGATCCACTAGAGTGCCGAAGTAAATTTCTTCGTCGTGCTGTGTAAGTCCCACTATGCATATTGCACTAGATAGACCTTCATTGTATCACGTTCTAAGTCATGGTTACAGGCCGGCACTTGCTTTGACTCGCACTGCACTTCGTCTCCCTTCTTCCGTCGCGCTTCGTCCTCCCATCGCATGCGACCTCCTTATCCACTCCGTCCGCGATATCATTTCTGTGGTTAGCCACGATGAGCCATATTGCTCCAAAGCGGGTTGTCCTCCGATGTCGCGAACAATACTTCAGAGAGCACGGGCGAATGGTTGAGACTTTCCTCGAATCGCAAAACCTCCTAGATATAGAGGACTATGGGATACATATATGTGGAGATCCATATTCTCCTACTACTCTATATCTCGTCCTCGATCTCTACTGCAGGGAGGTCCCGATTGTTGATCTCAGCAACTTAGAACTCCAAGTCTTCAAAGTCTCAAAAAACAATACATTGTACGTTTATTTCCTTCAGCTGTAGGACGAAACTAAGTCAGAACAATCTAGTACTTTCAAAAACCTTGGTGAGAATGCTAGCAAGAGAGCTTACGAACGTTCTCTTACACTAGATTGGGGGGCGAACCAATCTAATCAGAGGAGTTAGAGGGCGTTACCCCCTTACATATAGGACATTCCCCAGCTAGGTTTGTATCTTGAGCGTCGCGCGTCAATGGAAGGTCCCTCAAAAAACCAGACGGTGGCATGCATGGGTCTCTGTTAGGACGATTCAGTGCTGTTGCACAATAGACGATGTGGTCTCGATTCTCATGGGGAGGGTTTCGTGTACAAGATTGGTATGTTTTACAATTCCAAGAACACATGTTTGCAAGCAGTAAATATGTTTTGGGGCTGATGCAGAGTTGGTGGTGGAAATGTTTCCCCTCACCCTCTCGTATCATCAAGTTTTCGCAGTGACTCTTGGAAGGCACCTTACTAAAATAGGCCAAGTGGCAGGTGAGGGCTGCATCCGTTATCTGGCCCGATCCTGTGATGATACGCCACGTCGCATAACCGTGATTTGCGCTCCCATTGACTCGCTAGGTAAAACGGAGGGATAGTTACACGTCTTCCATTCACAGTATGATATTAATTAATGTAACGTCCGTCCCTGTGGGTCGAACATCCCTCCACAACGAACCACCAACATTGCTCAAGGACGTTACGCCCAAGCCACAGATACTTTCAGATTTAAGTACTCATTCATATGCTCTTTAGATCCACCTCTACCTATCGCAAGTCTTAAATAGCAAAATTACAGCAATCTAAGGGGCGCATATGAAGTTTTTGTGTAAAGCAATAAAGCTGCAATAATAACATACCCCTGTTCTACTTTTTACAGAAGGGTAACTTGCTTATTCGGAGGACCTATACAATTCACAGCAGGCTAAAGAACCTACAGGCACTCTATGAGGACCTGCAGCCTCTATCTAGATACACTCCGAGTTTCTCCGGCTTGGTGTGCCAGTCCTTCGCGTTTAGCGAGAGGATTTATAACGCTGACATAGCAGGATTGCGAACGCTTAGCGGCCCACGATGTACACCTGCACTATGCCAAAAGAGCTGAAGCTGTGGCGCAAAGTTGAGAGGCTTCGTCCAGCCACTGCTTAAGCGCGCGGTCGCTTTCTGCCTATTCTTAGAATTTGAAGACACCACGAGATTCCCATTATACGTACTTAACTATAATAAGTAACTGTTATAGCCTTGGTATTTTGAACTGAGCAGAAAAGCGCGAGAGCTAAGAAAATCGTTCTATCTATTCGTTTTTACAACATTAACTTAGTTCACGTGACAAAGCCATACCCTTCCTGACCCTACTCCTATACCTACTTGGGTCTCACTCACAGCCGAGCATAAGGGCCGATACTCAGAGGGTATCCACAACATGTTGCTACTAGCGCACTTGACCCAGTTGCGATCTGAACTTATACCGGCACCCTGGTACTGTGGTTTTGATACTACATCGTCGATGCGGTCTATGATCTGGGAACTAGAGATGGTGATAGTGCCTATTTCTGTTGAGAGCATAGCACTAGTAGGATCGAAGGATAAGTCCCAAAGGGATCTGCCAACGTCAAAGGTATGCAGACACATCCCGCTGCTCGCGTCCCAGATCTTGACAGT